ACCCTCGTCCTACTATGGATAGGTGGATGATACTTTTATATTACATTAGGATAAAGTTGATCCCGAGATCCTTGTCAAAATATTCAGTATAGCATATCCGCTAATCGAGTCCACACACAAAACAGAGGAAGACTATGCTTAAATCACTTCTTGATGTCCTACTAACAAGAAGGCAAGGTGAGAGTATTAAGCGCTGTATTTCCTGGAAAAACGTCATGGATTGACCAATACACCCATTTTAAATCGTTTATCTCTCTTGCATACAAACCACATCTCATCAGTATATACCCTGATATTTCGTGCTAGGAAAATCTGCACAACAAACAATAAAGTAAAGAAAATCGAAAACTTATTACATGAGAACGGATATCCAGAAAAATTTGTAACAGTCTACACGAGGAGAACAGAAGAAACATAAATATTTATGATTTTACCGTCCAAAGCTAATTCGGTCAGTGAATTACTGGCACCAGAACCTAAAAACGTAATAGCTAAGACATTTTTTACTGCAATACTATGCTTAAAACTCACCACTTATTTCATAATTCCAATGCAGATAAAGGATAAGTTACTGAGTCTGGTCACATCTATGTGCATTCAAAAATTTAACTGTTCTTGTAGAGTCAGTTACATTGGTAGAACAACTCGGCAACCTCACCGTTGCCTTCTTGAACACTGTCCAATGTGATTAGGTATAGGAGTAGTAAAATAAGTCAGAAGTTACATACATACGGAGCACAAGACTGATAAAAATTGCGCCTTTAAAATTCTATACAATGTGCCACATCAAGTCCTTAAGTTTTTTCGCCTGTGACTACTAAACATAGCTGAAACAGTCGTCAGAAAACTTTTTCAGTCCAATCCTTGTGTTGAGAAAAAGTTTCAATATAGAGAAAATATTCATTCAGACATCTATAAAACACAAAATAATTGAGCAAAGAATATCCTTTTCGATAATTTCTTCTTCTGGCTCTACAATTAAATATGCATGTTTATATACATAGAATATTCTAGAATAGTAGTCAATAACAATATTAGTGTTTCTTAAATAATATCGATGTGTAAAGTGAGATCAGTGGAATTACAGTTCATTAAAGATGTTCAAATTATAAGAATGGTAAAATTATAATAGCAAATTGAATATCTACTCAAATTAAGGAAATTTCTACAAAAAATTGAGGATCATTCAAACCTAGATGGCCAACGTAAGGACAGTGTCTGAACTAGTTTCTTTTGGCTTCTCAGTGTGTATCCCAACGGCCAGCTTCAGCAATATTTAGTAATTGAACTCTTAAGGCGAAGTTAAGATTTGTTGGTATGCAGTAAATGACTTTGAAAGCCACCGCGTTAACATCAATCTTGTGTTATGTATCCACAAGATGACATGAGTTTGTTCAATTCCTTTCCCTCTCATGGCCTTCAAACCCAAATTAGAATAGTTATCCTGGTGACAGCTGTTATTATTCCACTTATATACTACGAAGATGACAATTAACAAATGTAAATCCTTTTTTCTTGATCAAAACTTCTATAAATTTAGCTTATCGTCAACTGAATCCTACTAACTTGTTAATTCATCAGATTATCTGGAAAATTAATGTTTGTTTCAGTAGTAAAATGAAGACTGGAGAGACAGAAATTAAGACGCTTTTCATGTAGTATATTAGGTTGAATAGATTTGTTTCACACTTTAGAAGATCCAGCATTTCTAAAATAATGATCTCAGGATCAAATCAATTATCTATTCACAGGATTATTCTTATCGTATGATGAATTGTCTCACACTTTAAAAAATACAATAAATCCCTTCAGACTCCTAGACACTGATATAATTTCAAAGACATGAATGAATAAACAATTTCGTTTGTTCATGGTTAAATGCGTGAAAGGTGTGTTGATAAATCTGCTCAGGGTTCAATCCCCAGTCACCGACGCACTCCTTTACCTCTCTAAACCAGACTGGTTGAAAGAGGGAAGATCGTCCAAGCAGCTAGCAGCTCCATCCCATAAAAATGAATACCACTTCTGCAGAGACTTCAGAGTTTTAGCTTGAAGCCCCCTATGTTCCACTGGGGACTTAGAGGATTAAAAAATATTTGTCTGAAGATCTGCTTAAAATTTAGGCTACCAGAAACTTCCATCACTACAGCGGTCTATAATTTCTCCTATTCACTTTGTTTTAGTTGAATAAAATATGATCTCAAATAGTATTATTTACTCTCGCGACTATTTAAAACATTTATAACCCGCTAATTCTCTGGTTTCTACTAAACTTGAGGAAAAGCTTAATTGTCGCGGGTTTGGGGGGGAGAGGATGGCAGTGTATCCCAATACATGAATTAACTGTTCCTCAGTTATATCCCTGGATCTTAAAATATACTCCTGAACTTCTTATAATTGATTTTCAATCAAAGACGGTGCATTTTACTGAAAGTGACAAAGAAGCAATATCCTAATGGATTGGTTTATGATTCAGGTCAGACAGTGTTGTGTTATAGGATCTACGGTCAATTAATATTTTGCCTGAATAATCCTGTAACGAATAGAAAATATCATTCAATAAACTCCTCCTAAAAAATTCTGTACTTTGTGTAAAGACGATTTAGAATTTAGCCATTATTATATAATCACAGCTGAATGTTGAATGGCCAACTCTTTGAGTAGTATTTGACTTGATGTATTTAACGATAGCTTGAAACATCGAGGGATGTATTTTTTAAATTGAATTTTAGATTTTCCCGTCGATTGATTGGACCGAAGTGCTCGGTCTCAGGTTGAAATATCTGTTGGCTTCTTGTGCAGATGCTTCGATGATGACTGGGCATTTAATTAGAATCTAAGTGGTGGATGGTGACTAGCAGTGGAATCTACCAGGATGCGCATTTCGTCCTATTTGGGACTCGTCAGGACGATTCCTGGATTCCACTTCTAGTCACCATCCACCAATTAAAATCGAGGGATGTAACCAATATTTTAGAAGATTGTGATGACTGAGGTCAATTATTTGATGACGATGATTAACAGAGAAACCCACGGCAGGCCAACCAACTGATTTCAGGTGTGCGTCGGCAGGGGATCGAACCCCGCACCATGTGCATGGTCGGCGAGCGTCCTAACCACTGTGCCACTGACGCATGTCCCTATGATAAATCCCTGTGATTCAGTGAATGAATTGTTAAAGTATGAATGTAAGAAACATAAGAGTAATGGGTTTCAGTCTCACTAAGTGTACCACTACACTAGAATGCAAGTATATTCAAGCATATAATTGATGAGTTCCAGATGAGGACAAAACATCCCCTCCTTGATTTCATTCACTATTAGAAATCACAGTAATATTGAGGCAGTCAACCGGGAAGTCTACATGTTCTATTTAGACTGATCATCTTTAATCCAGAAATATTAAAGGGGCGTTAAAAAATATGTCTTTAAATAAATATGAAATTTTCGAGAGATACTTTAAGCAGTAATTTGTAAAACTCTTTTATCAGTTTACATTGGAATATATTCACAGGATTAAAATAGTTCATGATTGTCTTTATTTACTTTATGACTTCTCACTAGCTGTTAACAGGGTAAAACATGACATGAGTTATTATAAATTCAAAATTTTATCTAAGAAAATTCAAAAATTATTTCAACACAAAACCAACTTAGTTGTGGAACAACGGATATGCCTACAAGGTAGTTGCGTTATACATGCTGAGAAATGGCAGAAGTTAAAAATCTATGGGCGATCACGTTGTGTTCCATTCGCACTGCAACAGGGAGGTCCTGGTTTCGAATCTCAGGGGGCACATACTACTAAAGAGTCCCAAACTAGGACGAAAACGTTGTGCAGTACCCTCTGTTTGTTTTCAGTAGTTCTCTAACTAATGTCAACTCATTGTCAAACCTGTAACCAATCAAATCCCTGTAAACCAACATAACCTGTTTTTTGTATTCATAATTTGATGGAAAGTTTAGAAGGGGAAGAATGAAAGCGACTAGAGCTTCCTGTTAAGTAACCAATAGAATCAACGAAATCTTCATAAAATGAATCTATACCAGGGTGAAGAACACAGCTTTTACAACACAAAAAGAGGTATATCATTTTAGCAGAAAATATCACCCCCCCCTCTCAAAGTTCAACGGAAACAAACTCATAAAACCAAAAGTCAGTCTGATCAAGTTAATTAAGAAAGCATCTTAGCAATTCATAGTTTCCCCCATACTTTTGACAACATAGTACATAATTTTACTCAAAAAAATCACTTATTTTCAAACATTTTACGAGTGATCTTTCAAACATAAAAAATTATGACTTCGTTAGAATAATCTAGAATAACAACATGCCGTTTACTGACAGTCTGAGCTTTGAATCAGTGGTGTTTATTTTCTACATGGTGAGATTGCTAGTCTCATGCACAACTTTCGCTCATTACAGGCTGATCAGAGTGAAACAGTAAATTGGTCGGGGATCGAAACCCCTAACCACATGCATGGGTGACGAATATTCGGCCAATGAACCATCAAAAGTAAACAATAACATTACAGGATTTCATTATAAGCTAACATTGGTTAGAGAACCATTGGAAAACCTGCAGGGAGTACTGGACAGCTGTTTCGTCCTAGTTTGGGACTCTTCATCAGTACGTCGGGTAGAAAGTAATTAATGAGTTCAACTCAATAAATGATAGTCAAGAAAAGAAGAAAAAGTTATGATGTAGAAAACAGACAGAAGCAGAGCCATGAAATAGTTGTGTTTTTAAATCAAGAGCTATTTTATTTCCGTAAATTTATGCTCAGTATCATCGTTTTTTTTAAATTAATCAAGGAAACTAGAGTCATGTCATTGAAATTCAATTCAATTTAAAATACTCTTTTAAAGCACAAAGAAACTAGCATTACATCATCAATCAAAATGAATAATTTAAAATTATTTAATCCCATAAAAAGAGAAATATTATTTTTATTCATAAAGTTATAAAATGATTATGACAAATAACTATTTAACTTACCGATCATTCCAAACAGTTTCTACATCCAACATGTGGTAAAACACAGAAGAAAAACGATAATCTTTTATTGTTGTTTCTTTAAATCTTCACACACGGAGACACACCGACACACACAGAGAGAGAAGTAATCACAACACAATAATGAATGTATAATTGAACAATGAACCAATTTTTTTAAAATTTAATTTGTTTAAATTTCTATTTGAAAATATTGAGCAGAAATTTTGAATTAATCCCTTTCTGTTTACACCGACAGATATATATATATATATTTGAGTGTATATGTATGTGAATATATATAAATTAAGAAGAAATTATTTAGAATATTATAAAGACATGTACACACATATATATATAAAAGGTGGTGTAATATGTATTTGTGTATAAGTAGTGTGTAAATTTTTCAGTTCAATTGGGGGGTTGAGGCGGGGCGAGGTGAAGGGGTTTCTTATCTTCACTGTTTTTGTCGCCTTCTTCTCAATTACCTCCTGTTTGTTTTGTTGTGTTTTTGTTCACTGATATTGTGCTCTTCACCTTTTCGTTGAATGTGTAGATTTTATCTTTATTTTTTCTATTTCTTTTAAAGTTGTTTGTTTGTGTGTGTGTTTACCTGTATGTAAGTAATTGTAATCAACTCAGTAATAATGATAAAAATAATAATAATAGTAATATTAGCAGTAGTGGTAATAGCTGATTGGATATGTGTTTATCGTTTTCTCTTGATGTTTCAAAAGTTTATATACCTTCACTTTGTTCTTAAAGAGAAAAGGTAAGTGAGAATATGCAGTTCAAGGACACTTTATGCTCATATACAAACATTACTGATTGAATCATTGTTTGTTTTGTGTTTTTTTGTTGTTGTATAGTTATGATTAGTATGAGATGAGTAACAGAAGCAGTTGTAGTCAAAATTTGGACAATTTTTTTTCAAAAGGATGCGATTAGATCTCTAGAAAGATCTTCCACTTGTTTTAACACTATCACAATTGTTTAAACATCTTTATTCATCATTTGAAATCATTTTTAATTAAAAGAGGTAAGATTATTGTGCATAATTAGTATTATTATTATTATAACACCTAATAAACTGATGAGAATACGTTTATATAGATGTGAAGATTATAGTTAATTAAACAGATAGATAGTTAGATAGATAGCTAGATAATGTTATTTAATGGTAAATTAAGAATTTGAAATAGTAAAAATCAATAATATGATTAGTATTAATCTATATTTTGAAATAAATGCATGTACGCGTACACTCATTCACACATACACACACACAAGCATATATATATAATTTCTATTTACGCCTAATATACTACTAGTTACTTAATAAGTACATACTGTATAGATATATATATGTTTACAAGATAAGCAGAAGCTATTGTAATCACCTCTTTCATTAATAATAATAATAATAATAAAAATTGTAAGTCGTTTACACTACACCTTTTTAATGATAAACTTTTTGAAGTATATTCATACTTTTAGAGAAAATCTGTTTGTTTTTATTTGTTTTTTCTTCTTCAAAATGACCTGAAGAAAGCCGAGAACATTTAAGTGAGTAAAGAAAATAATTATTAAAATGGAAAGAAACAGGGTGAAAGTAAGTATTGGTGTATGTTGATGCTTTATTTGCTTACTGGGTTGCAGGTTAGCTTGTAAAAGATTTATTTATCTATTTATACTGATTAATATGTATGTTTCATCTGTTTTCTTTTAGAAATGTAATGGTTATGCAATCTTCCAAGAGGAGATAAGGTACTACTTATTTGGAGAATATTAGTAATATCTGTGACAGCATATATATATAATGTATTATTATTGTATATTTATTGTTCCCTTGGGTTCCTAGTGGAACATAGGGTTTCAACTGCACGTCTCCACTTCCTTCTGTCTTCTGCTGTACTTTTCACTTGCATCCATGTTAGTCCATACTGTTTCAACTCCTCTTCACACGATCTCCTCCATGTCACCCCTGCACCGACGAACCACTCGCCGCTTCCCTTTCGCGTTCCACTCGAGCATTGGCCTGATGCGCGATGTCACCCAACGGCCTCCTCAGCGAGTGTCCAATCCATCTCCACTTTCTCCTGCATATTTGTTGAGCGATTGGTTCTTGTTTTGTTTGTTCCCATAGTTTCTTCTTGGTGATTCTTTCCAGCCATCTGATCTTCAGTATAGAACGAAGACAGCTGTTGATAAAGGTCTACCTGCAACAGGCTGTTGGAAATATTCTTTGTGACCCGCCAAGTTTCTGATCCGTATAGAAGAACTGACTGACTTGACGTTTGTATTGAAAATCCGAATTTTGTTGTTGATGTTGGGTGACGAAGATTTCCAGATTGGTTTCAGGTTGATGAATGTGTTTCTCGCCTTCCCGATTCTCGATTTGACATCCTCGTCCATTCCTACTGTAGTTGAGACAATGCTCCCTAGATAAGTGAAAGAAGTAACCTGTTTGAAATCCCTCCCGTTGATGGTGATTGGCACTGGATGTTGCTGCTGTTGTTGTTGGTTGGTTATTTACATAACCTCCATCTTATCTATGTTCACCTGGAGTCCTGTCTTCTCTGGCTGCTTCTTCGACCAGTTTGTCGGTTTTCGCTTGTAAGTCTTCAATTTTGTGTGACATCAAACACAAATCATCCACGCGCGAAATCCAGGTCTTCTAGGTTCTTCACGTCGGTCCAGGATATCCCTGTCTTCTCGTTTCCCACTGTCTGACGCATAATCCAGTCCACCACAATTAGGAATACCATTGGTGATAATAAGCACCCTTGTCTGACTCCTGTGTTTACTCCAAACGCCTCGGTGAGTTTTCCGTTGTGGATCACTTGACATGTGCCGTTGTCGTACAGCTGTTGAATAAGGTTGATGAATATTTGGGGTACGCCGTAGTACTCGAGTAGTTTCCAAATTACTTCGCGGTCAACGCTGTCTGTCGAAGGCCTTCTCAAAGTCTATAAGGTTGAGGTAGAGGTTTGATTGCCATTCCATGCTTTGTTCTGTGATGATGATGCGTAGAGTTGCAATTTCGTCAGAACATGATTTGCCTTTCCTGAATCCAGCTTGTTCTGGTCGGAGTTCTGTATCCAGTGCGTCCTTTATTCTCTCCAGGATGATGCGACTCAGAATTTTACTTGGCGTCGACAGGAGCATGATTCCTCGCCAGTTCTTGCAGAGTCCTAGGTCGCCCTTCTTTGATAGTTTCACAAGGTAACCTTTCCTCCAGTCAGTAGGCACCTTTCCCTCCTTCCAGACCTTTTGCAATAATGGAGTCAGCATATCTGCTGTCGTCTCTGGGTCCGCTTTCAGTGCTTCAGGGGGTATTCCATCTGGTCCAGCTGCTTTTCCAGCTTTCAGAAGCTTGATTGCATTCATGACTTCAGCTTTCGTTGGAGGATTGGTGTCAACTTGCAGTTGTGTACGTGCTGTTGTTGGTATTTCTGGACGGGTTGTAGGTGGTGGTCGGTTCAAGAGTCCTTTGAAGTGGTCCGCCCATTGTTTAATCTGTCTTTCTTCCTTGGTAATTGGGTTCTCTTGGCTGTCTTTTATAGGTTTCACTTGTGTTGATCTCTTCCCGGATAGAGACTTGGTTATCTGATATAATGTCCTCAGGTCCCTTTTGCCTGCTGCCTTCTCAGCTTCAGTGGCCAGATTGTCGTAGAATTGTCTTTTGTCCTTCCTAGCACTCTTCTTCACTTCTTTGTCCAGTGCTGTGTAAGTTGAACTCAGCGTCTCTTTCTCTTGTCCGTCTTTGCATTGAATCATTTTCTCTTTCACCATTCTCCTCTCCTCTATTAGCTTCCAAGTGTCTGTTGAGAGCCATTCCTTGTCTTGTCTCTTCTTTCTTCCTAAAACCGTTGAACACGTTTCGTTGAAAATTACCTGCAGAGAGTTCCAATGGTCTTCCACGCATGATTCCTCAGTGATGTCACGTAGTGTTTCCTGCTTTGCTCTGACAGTTGCAGTGAAAATGTCCTGTGTGATTGTGTCCTTCAGTTTTTGCGTGTTGAACTTGCATTGTGGCCTATCCCCAGCTATCCTCGAGGCTTTCAGCTTCACCTTGAGTGTCCCTTGTACTAGATAGTGGTCTGAACCCACATCTGCTCCTCTCCTCGATCTTGTGTCCAGTAGGCTCCGTCTCCACTTCCTTGAGATTGAAATGAAGTCTATCTGGTTTTTGGTGTGACCATCTGGTGAAATCCATGTCACCTTGTGTTTGAACACACTGCCACCAATCACCAAATCATTGAAGGCGCAGAAGTCTGAGATGAGTTCACGCCTTATTGCTGAGTAGTTGGAGGATTTCATCATGAGCTGGCATTGGTTAGAGAACTATTGGAAAACCTGGGAGTCCTAGACAGCTATTTCCTCTTAGTCTAGTACTCTTCATCAGTACGTAAGCACCGGGTTTCAAATCCAGGACCTTCTGGTTACAAAGCGAGCTCGTAGACCATTAAGCCACTGGGGCTGGACCCTGAAGCCCATAAATTCTAACTACTGCTGAGTGCCAACAAAAAGATTAAAATCCATGTTCAGAGCTTCCTATCAATTCTTTCCAACCATCGGACATCATTTCAAAGTAAACCATGATGACCAGTCACCTAGCTTAAGATGACCAACAGAATTCACTTAGCACTGACATCAAGGACTAGACACATGACAATGATTATTCCCAAGGAACATATCAATATATCGATTCTAATCATATAGGAAGCCAGATGTGAACCTGAATACTTGATTGATAACGTCATGACTGTTTTATTATTACTATTCCCTTGGGTTCCGAGTGGAACAAAGGACTTCAGCAACACATCTCCACTTAGCTCTACTTTATGCTCTCCTCTTCAGCTGGCTAGCTCCACGAGTGCCAATAATCTCTCATCTCCTCCTACTCCTCCTCCATGTGACTCTCGTACCATCGACACACTAGTCACCACTTCCCATTCGGATTCCACTCGAGCGATGGCCTGCATTGCGCGCTATGTCATTCGACGGTCTCCTTAACGTGTGACCGATCCAT